TATATTGTTGCCGTGCTTTTCTGGTTTGTCGGTTCATCGTATTCCTATTTTGAGTGACTACTTTGAATAACGAACCATGTTTTTCTGGCTCAAAAAGATGTTACAATAGTTTTAGCGTGTTGAAGAAGTGCACAAACACTTTTGACTATTTAGTCCACGAAATGTTTTTTAGTAAAGAACTGAGCCTTCTCTCAATGTGTGCGAAGGTTTTTAATTAGCTTTTAATCGTTTATTCTCTTTGTAGGTTTTTATTGTCCGTTCACACCTGCTTAATATTTTATACTTCTTACACGCATCTAGGCATTCATTGTTTCAGTTTTGCCATTCACTTGAAAATGACCGTGAAGTGTGGTCGAAATATCGTTTTTACTGTTGATTTTTATTGTCAAAAGTTTTAAGAAACCTTTACTGATTTAAGAAATACGCATGAAATAAAGCAATTGAATTGTAAATAACCGTCGTTGTTTGTACTTTGACTCACCCTAAGTGCTCGTCAAAACAAGATGTACCTGTAGTATTATAAATTGACACCGTTGCTCTAGAATGTTTGGCTTTTAAAGGTCAATAAGAATAAGAAGTTTAAACGTCTTCCATCGATTGTCAATATTTGATAGCTTCAGGAGACCGCAAAAGTGTTTTCTTTAAAGCAAAGGCTTCTTGTGCACAAGAATGTGAAACATGTATCACTGAGATGTTTGTTGCTTTCAATAAAGTGTGGAAGTGTACAAGTCACACAAGAGTGGTTTTGCATTGTAAAGAGGTAGTCCTGCTTTTCTGCGGCTTCGATATGAGACTGCATCTATGCCAAAGGTGACTATGATCTCGTCCACATCGCATTGTAAAATCTTAAAACGCTCCTTTATTTTTGCACTCCTCGACAATATCGGACCGAAAACAAACTGACGTCATTTCTTTTCCTGTTTTTCAAAATGACACATTAAATCCTTGTTCTTCGCATACCTGAACGCCATAACTGCCAACCTCTTGAAAACCACAATTGTTGTGGTTTCAAAGTTATCAGGCGTGGTGTGATCTGAAAAATTTACATCTTTGACTTTTGGGAACTGTCTTCTAGCTATCAGTAATGTTTGTGTCAAATGTGTTTCTCAACTGACGACTTCAACGGTAAAATTACCTTATTTCTTCTTGAGATGAAATTTTGTTTGTGTGGGTGCTTGACGCTTTGAGATTAAAAACATCCGTGTAACATATTGTATTTCTAGATAATCTCTATTTAAAATTATAGCTAAAAACAAAAACAAAAACAAACAAACAAAGCAACAATCCGTTTTCATGAGATGATTTTATTCATGCTGGGGGTTAATTGAATGATGAGCCAAGTGGTTCTGAAACACTGTTACCATGACACGCAATTTTTCCGTTTTCATGAGGTGAGTCGGTTTTGCTCATAAACTGAAGGAGCCTCACACCATGTGACATAATGATTATTATAACTTCTGAAACACACAATTACAATGACTGCGATCGCCTTGAGATGATCATTTCAGTCCATCGCAAATCAGCAGAATAGCAGGAGTTGGCATTACTTTGAGGAAGAGAAGAATGATAAGAAGCAATGTTGATATTCATTTATTCGTGGCCTTTCCCAAGTTCTGTGTCCGGCAGTGCATGGAGACTGCACCGAAAAAAGTGGACGAGCAAAAAAGGCGAAGAAAGTAGACTAGTGCATGTAACCCCTTGAGGACTTACAGCCTCGGAGTGCCTTGTTGTTGTTGTTGTTTCTTAACAGTCCTTCAATCAGGGTAAGTCAATGAAGTCGAAGCCTATGCCTCGGACCAGTACTGACAGCAACTAAGGTTCCCCTTTCATTAGAATATAAAGCGCCGATTACATCCATTTACTTCAAAACGTATTCCTTCATTTGTTCTATCTCATAAAAAACTCGGCGGGCTTGTGTTTCCTTTTTGGCACAGTGTGTAAGTTTCTAAAGAAACTGTAGTGCTGCGTCGGTGGGGGTAACAAGGTAATTTGGTTATATCAACTAAGTTGAAATTGTAAATTGGCCACAGTGAAGAGTTACAAAGTTTTTAACTCTTAACGGTGGCTAATTTACAATTTCAACTTAGTTGATATAACCAAATTTAAAAAAAATTAGTTTGCGTGTATAATGTTTGCCTACTTTCCGCTTTCTTCATCTCGCCTTTACCTCAACCTCACCCCCCACTCCAACTTGCATTCTGAGGAAGGTCTCTGACTGGTACAATAACCACTAGCTATATAGCTGGCATCACTGAGTAAGCATTTTCTCCACACTGTTCTCTATACATTTTGCTCTGGTACTGAAAAAGTTAATTTTTTTGTTAATCAGGAGCTTCCTCAATCAATGGTCATTTGCTGTATTCTCATGACATTTGTGCTTGATTCAAGGGTGATACTGTAACGAGAATTTAGACATCAGAACTAATTCCAGTTTATATTACCAAACTACCTTTGACAACTCAGTCCTCTTCCTGGTTCAAATCGCCACCATAGACTCGGCGTTGTTCCATTTCATCCTCTTTTCTTTTTTTTTTTTTTTTCAGGCTCCGGATCTGGCGCTGCCACAATTGGTTGAGAGAAAAATTTGTTATAGCTGTTTAAAATGGGAAGCACCATTAAATTAACCTTAAGTTTCAATCGTATGATTTCGCCCTGAGAAGCAAACATCAACAGCGTCGGCACAAATGGCCCTAGAGATTTTTTTTTGTAGCACGAAGCTGTCTATTACTGAAAAACATTAAACAACCCTGGGATGTTATTATAGTTCATTCGCCTGGTCCACAGGTGTTTTACCATATGTATCGCTTAAACCCGAAACCCTGCAACGGAGCCATGACGTTATTCAGAGATACTTGTCGACAACGCCCAGTCCATTTCTGGACATTACGCGGACAACGAGGCGAGAAAGAATGCTGCAAATATAGCAATTATTGCTCAGTAACTGTCGATAAATGATAACTAGCTCTTTAAGTTCTAATTTTCAATCAAATGATTCCGTGCTGAACAATTGACAGTAACTGTATTTTACACTACTAACCAAGTGGCTGGGTTACATTGAACCGACTCTCCCGCTCCACAGCTTACGCAGTTGCCCGGCCACGTTTCGGAAGATTTGACATTTTTAGAGAAATATTTTCAGTACTATGACTAAACGGAAAAGTTCTTATTTCATTAGCCTTTAAGTCGCAAAGTTTTCCCATATTAAAAAAAAAGGAAAAAAATGGCGCTATTCAAAGGTTATAAACTGCTTCTTCTTCTTCCCAGCTCGAGCAGTTAAAACGTTTATGAAGATTTGCAATATGCAGAAAATAGTTTTAAAGACTATTGTCAAATTGAAATATCTTTGACATACCTTTACGTCAGAAACTTAAAGTCAGATAGATCATGTTGATTACATGAATAGGATCGATCATCTAGGGTCGACATCAAGGTGGTCGTAGTGCAAGGTAATGCACCGATCAATTCGAAGCTTCAACATCCCCCAGGCAGCCCACGGGCATTTGACCGTCGTCCTTGTTCAGGGTGTGGGGAATTTGAGTCTTGCCTTGGTGGGGTAGGGCATTTGAACCAGAAATGTCAAGTCTTTCCAGCGTGATGGACGTGTTTTAACGGGGGAGTTTAACATTAAAGAGTCTGCATGCGTGAGCGAATGGTTTAGAGAGACAACTTTCACATCATAGGATAATGCTTACAAGCGAAAAATCCAACAGAAGCACCAAAACCTAATACGTGACTTCGCTAAATTCCAAAACATCCGTTGATCACACAAAGTATCTTTCAACATTGGGTGAAGCATTTGAACGTATTTTTGACGGGAGGGGAGGAGTTTGAACAAGCCGATCCTCAAAAGTTCATATGCCGGGGCGATGTAATTCGCAGGATTTATGTACACAAATGACAAAACACATGTAGAAAAATTAAGAATTATTACGTTGTAAACCGGCTGATCCTCATCATTGACATGACGACGTGAATTAGGCAAAGAAATAGCCATTGTCGTGGTAATTAGCATGGCCAAAATAAGTACCAAACACACTTTCATCGTACCTGTCACATAATATAAAATGAAATGGATATCTAGAAAAAAAAATTCAATCCATGACCTTGGCCGCGTCAGATTCGAACCTTAATCAAGAAAAGTAATAAATGAAAGTAAAACTTAAAACATTTAGAGACAACGATCTCGTTACCTCTCACTATTGCAATTAACAAAGGTTATTGTGTTATTTCCATATTTCCGCAAAGCCTTCAGACAAGTTCCTTGATGGCCCTGGTTTTTAAGGTTTCTGCCAAAGAAGTATGGCCTCGAAGGTTATACATTGAGAAATGATTGTTATTCCATGGTATCTCATGATCAGCTAGTGTTTTCTAGGCTAACTATTTACGATTGCACCTCTTTAAACAAGCGAAATCGACAAAAAATAAACAAACAAAACAAAACTCAAAACAAAAATTACTATAATCAGGTCTTACAGTCCTAGGATTTTTTAAATCAGTATCCACTGAAGCGCCAGTAATGCAGAAACGAAAAAAAAATCTAGAGAAAAAAGGTAATAGCAGTACATGAAGAAAGCATGACCCACCCGCACTACATAGTAATCCTATCTTACTTAGTACTGCATTGTGTGTGAATTTCCTACGTGAAATGAGGTTCCAGTCCCTGGGTTCCAGTTCTTCCAAGTTGACTTCCAATCGCTGGCTCAACACTCTCCTGTATAAAAAATGTTGTGTTGTATAGACCACTTTCATAAATGGCTGCCGGATTAATATTCTTTTGTTTAAATTTAAATTTGCCTGGGTGGCCTCGCTTGAGATAATGTATTCTTGTGAATTTTGTACTGGAGAACGAGGCCACCCAGGCAAATTTAAATTTAAACAAAAGAATATTAATCCAGCAGCCATTTATGAAAGTGGTCTATATGTACTAGCATTCTGTCTACAGTAACGCAAAATGGCGGATAGCTTCATTCAACTCAGCCAAGTTGTGCCAAATATATTACCTTAACAAAGAACGTTACTTGAATATTTCGTCATAAAATGATAAAGGAGGAAGATAAAGATGAATTCCTGTGCAGAATCATGGAAAAAATCCAAAATAGCCCGCATTTTCTGGACATGAAAGCGGATTTGCAAGTAAGCATTGGTTCATTTGTTCGGCTAGCTAGTTGTGGGGGTGAGGGAAGGGGGTAGTTTTACTCCTTTCTTTTACGAAGGGCGGGGCATTTTAAATTCATGATGTGTTTCTTGAGCATAGCAATTGCATGTAGTGACATATTCAAATATTAAATTTATGTACGTGGAAACCAAAAAGATGGTGTACGTTACAAACTTGTGTGAAAATTTCACATGACATTATGTCAACAAAAGTAACAATCAAGTGTCATTTGTAGTCTTACAGACATTTTATTTTCTTGTTTGTGAATAAAGCCTCTCCAATCCAGGGGTCTACCGTGGGCTGTAAGTCCTGTTAGCGCCGTCTATGAGGCCTTCAGGCAACCTCTGCTGTTTGGGTCCCTTACGGCCACTTTTCCGTTTCCACCTATAACACCGTTAATGTTGGCAGCCACTTATGGAGGAATTCGTTGAAATCACTGATTGAAGGAGTTCTAGCAAGTTTTGAAACTCCAATTCTCAGTCGGTGATAAACCGGCTGTTTTCAAGATGTTGTAACATGTTTAAAACTTAAGCCTGATGGATGCTTAAGGTGGCTCGATAGGCCAAAAAATCATAAAAACTTCATATTTTTGGAAATAAGTTTCTGGGCACCAACAGTCATTGTAGTTTCAAGAAAAGTAAGTCTTTTGTAATTTTTCCCATGGCTATTGTATGTTTTTCAACTGTTTTTGGATCTGTTTGAGCGGTTGCTATGGAAACCAGCATTGTTAACGCGTCGTTTTCCACCAAAAAAAGCCAATGATTTCAAAGAAATCTTCACAGGAGTGACCAGAATAGATTTCAGGGGCCTGGTAAATAGTTAGGCCCTAAATGAGGACATTGTGTGCTGATACATGACGTACTTGGCATGAGAAAAACGTGTTCGCTTGTTTACGATCTATCTACTGAGAGTTGAAGCGAATTATGCCTCCAAAAAGGAAATTTAGGAACGTTAGAAGAAAAAAAAGGAGGTTTACAGGCAACAAGTATACTAAGAAAAGAAATTCTGAAGAAATGGAAGGAACTGATGATCAGGAATCAGTGAAAGAAAGCGAGGAATCAGACATCACCGATATCGAAGATGAAAAGATTCCGAAAAACATCACACGGAATTCTGATCGTACTAAATCGATGCCTGCTACCCTGAGAAAGTTGGACGATAAGTCTAGCGATTCTGGAGACCCTGAAAACGATGAGGAGGAAAAGATGGCAAGTATAGAGGGTTTTCGTTTGATTGATATCTCTGTACTTGCTTCAGTCTTCGAGTCATTTTGGTGTCCGATGTGTAAATATGGCCACGTCACGTTCGAGGAGGATTGCAGCGCCAAGATGGGTTTTGCTACTCTTTTTGTGCTAAAATGCACATCCCAAAAGTGCAAATACTCGAAGAGGTTTTTTTCCTCTGCTAAAATCGAAGGGAGTCAGGCTTATGAAGTCAACCGAAGAGTTGTCCTTGCTACAAGGAACATTGGAATTGGACACCAGAGTCTTGTAAAATTCGCTGCGGTGATGAACATGCTACCGCCCATGAACGAGAACTCTTATCGAGATCATGTTGCCACAATTCGCAATTCTGCGGAGACTGTAGCCAAGGAGAGCATGCAAAATGCAGCTGAAGAGGCAAAAGAATTTTATGAGCCAGGAGAAGATGGGGTCTTTGACATTGGAGTGTCAGGGGATGGAACTTGGAGAAGAAGGGGGTACTCTTCAGCTTATGGGGTCGTCACTGCAATATCCACAGTTACTGGTAAAGTTCTCGATGTGGAAGTAATGTCCAAAGAGTGCAAGGAATGCATGGTTTGGAGAAGCAAAGAAGGAACTGTTGAGTTTCAGGAGTGGTGGGAAGGACACCAGCATCTTTGCCAGGCAAACTATTTTGGTTCTTCGGGGTCGATGGATGCTTCTGGAATGCTTGCCATATTTGAACGGTCTGTTCAAAACTACTCTGTTCGTTATACAGAATTTCTTGGGGATGGAGACAGTAAATCCCACAAACTTATTGTTGAAGAAGCCGTTTATGGGCCTGTTGAAGTAAGAAAATTGGAATGTGTGGGCCATGTCCAGAAACGTTTGGGGTCGCGACTTCGCTCACTGAAGAAGAGAACTGGTCAGACACGTCTTCAAGATGGAAAGTCAATTGGCGGAAGGGGCAGGCTAACAGACAATGTCATTGATAAACTGCAAGTATATTATGGGAAAGCCATTAGGAACAATACTCATGATATCCAAGCTATGGAGAATGCTGTAATGGCAATTTGGCATCATACACAGTCAACTGATGATAGCCCAGATCACGACCTGTGCCCCCCTGGAGAGAGTTCATGGTGTGGCTTTCAAAGGGATGTTGCACAGGGGACCTCTGATTATAGACATAACCATCCCCTTCCAACGGCTGTGGCTAATGCCATCTATCCCACCTTTGAAGCCTTGAGTGAGCAAAGTCTGCTTGCACGCTGTCTACATGGTGGTACGCAAAACCAAAATGAGGCCATCAATGCCCTTATCTGGCAGCGTGCTACAAAGGAAACCCACTCTGGGCTAGCAGTGGTGGAACTTGCTACCTTCTTGGCAGTCTCACATTTTAACAATGGCACTATTTCTATCATTTTAGTTCTTCGAAACCTGGGAATTGACCCAGGATTTCATTGCATCAAAGCTTGCCGAAAGCAAGATCATAATCGAATTCGCCATTCTCGCCGTAAAAGCTCTGAGCAAGCCAAAAAAAGGAGAAAACAGATCAGAAACTTCAAAAAAGGTTACAGTGACACTTTAGAGGCAATAGAAGGACAACAGTATGGTGCTGGTGCCTTCTAACATTGTTTTCAACTCTTGACTGCTTGCCCAATGATCTTGTGAACTTTATTTGCTATTTTCTAATTTTCCGTATTTCAGAGGTTTTGAAACCTTGTGACAATAATATCTCAAAAAATATTTACGATAAGTAGATCAAATTTTCACAGCATCTCAAGTGTCAATAGCTGTGTGCAATGACCTATTTTTATAGTGTTTGGACTTCTCACTCATGGGTTATGCCTTGTAAATTGAAGTGTAGTCAGGGTTATTTTTTGGTCTTTCTTTGTTGAGAGCTAATTCATGAATGCAACATAGTACTTACCTCAAAGTAGGTCATTGCACAGCTGTGATACAGTACAACAAGCACCTGAAGTTTTAGCTCTATAGCATAAAGCAGAGTAGAGATATCTTTGCCAAAAGACATACCTATTTTTGTCTCTCGGAATTGGGTGTGGCTAGAATAAATGGTGTGGCTCCTCTGAATTTTATGGAATGCTCTCCTAACTTAGTGGAAAGTAATGGGTAAGACCTATTTAAGTTTGTGGCACAAGTATAATGATATGATTTAAAGTTTAAGTGTTGGTAAAATTGTTGCCAAAATGAGCATTTTTAGACTATCGAGCCACCTTAACTGATTCTTGATTTGATTTGATTTGATGATGACACAGAAAGAAGTTGCAAAACCTCACATTCATGTGACAGACATGAAAGAGAGCATTCAAAATTACTTGAGACTCAAGATGGGAGGTCAAGCTACAGAATGCAGTCTACTTTCAGCTAAAGAGGTAAGGATGACAGACTGTTGCAGCTGATATAAATAAAATTGCAAGATTACATAGAAAAGGAACTTCTGTGCTGCTTTTGTGGGCAAGACAATCAATGTCACACTGTAGTTACTTCTATGAAAAATAGGTCAAAACAACAATTGGACTGCCAAATTGAATTTAGAAAATGACAGCTGAACATATTGCAAAACTTTTTCTCTCTAAAAAGTGGAATCAGCCCAATGCTAATGGCCTGAAAGTTTTTAGGGTTGCTTTCCGCTTGTTTTATGAGTGTCTTTACATGAAGTAGAAAAGGTTTCTTTTTGTTTTCCTTTTTCGGTAACTCAGTTAGGATGGCATTATTGACACAAGCAAAAATGTCCAGCTGTTAGCTTCAGTCTAGCCTAGATTGTTATTGAGCCCTCTTGATACATAGTAGTCTTAAGTGAAATAATGTACTTTTTGTTAAGTAGATATAATAAAATTTGGAAATTACATTTCTTTGTAGTTTACCAATGTCCTCAGTACAAGGTATTCCCCAGAACCAAGTAAAGGAACCATTAGCATTTATTCGTAAGGCACAGGTATTATGTATAACTACATTCTTTTGAGAATTAACATGGAACTAAATGTGAGGGTAACTGTGTTTGGGGAAAGTGAGAAATTTTATTTTTTTGACACATTTGATAACTAGTTGAAACTGCAGGGTAGCTGGACAACTGAACCAATGCTTACTTGCAAATCCACTTTTGTGTCCAGAGAAAGCAAGCTGTTTTCAATGATTCTGCACCCAACTTAATGTTTATCTTACCCCTTTATCATTTTATGAAGAAATATTCTATGGCTATATGTATGTTCTTGGTTAAGGTTACACATTTGGCATCTATTCACTGAGTTAAAAGAAACTGTCTGCTATTTTGCACTAGATAGATAGATAGATGGATAGATAGATACTTTATTATAAACACCTTGCAACCATAGGCTGAATTACGGAATATTTACAAATACAGATGATAAAAAGGAAGTATAGAATATTACAACTTTGTCATTAAGAAAGAAGGAAAATTATCTACATCTTATAAATATGGCTAAAAATAAAACTGTTCTTCAAGTGCTCGGTTTTGCATATGGGGAGAGTGAAATCACTTTTGTACCTCATATGTGCATATCTACAACTCTTCCTTTGGGGGAGGAGGCTGTGGAGTCTATGGGTGGGGTTACGGACTATCTCGTCAAACAGATTGGTTGAAATTTTTTCCCTCCTCTCGTGAAGTTTCGGTAGGCCAGCTGTTTCTAGTGCTACACTATATGACAGGTCAGGATAGATGATTCTGAGTGCCCTTCTTTGGATCCGTTCCAAATCTTCGCTGATGTAGTTTGGTAGAGAACGGTGGAATACAGGACTTGCGTATTCCAAGACGGGCCTAATACATGTCACATAGAATTGCACAAGTTCGCTTGGTGCAACTCCGGATCTCTT